CCCACTACCACCACCACCTGAACAGCAGTGTTTGTAGCATGAAACACCAGGGAACAGCCAGTAGAAGTGCCATTTTCTTCTCACAGAGTCCAAATAAAAAGAACACACAAAAGAGGGATTTGTTTGTGCTGCTCAAAGCAGCATTAACTCTGCCTCTGTGTTCAATGACCCCACCAGATGGGTCACAGTGCACAAATACTGGCACACAGCCCTTGCCTGCAGAGCCACCAACAGCCATGCAAGAGACCAGGACAGAGACCACAGGGTGAATCTCTTTCCTCCTCTCCCCGCTTTCCCTTCTGAGATCTCACATTTTAGATGTCCCAGTCCAGCCAAGCCTAGTCATTTTTGTGTCTCTCCTGCCCTTTCCCCCTTTGAAAGGCTTGGTTTTCCCTCCCTCCCACAGCCTTTTATTTACAATGCTTGTATATAGAAGATCATTGTACTATTGTTCATAAAGTGCTAGGAGATGAATGGAGTTATATAACTGCCAGTTTTCACCATTTTTTAGAACGATGGAAAAGTAAAATGGGAATGTAGACTCCCCTTGGGGCCAGGCTAAGCAAACTAAACTAACATTGCTAGTCACACAAAAGAATATCCACTTCAACATCCCCAAAATGGAAGAATGGAAGGGTAATGCATTTCAGTACATACCGTCCTGCACGTAATGACAAGCCATTACTAACTAACTATGGCATGTAGGCATACCTGGGGTGAGAAATATTCTGTGACGTAGTTCTTAGTAAAGGAAGTTTACAAAAAGGTGTTGGTTTTCAGCTTTGTTCTTTTTGGGTTTGGGGTTTGTTTGTTTGGCTGGTTTGGTTTGGTTTTGGTCTTGTTTTTTTTACATTTGCAATGATTTGCTGTTCATTAAGCTCTGGTATCTTGTGGCTTTTGATATTCCAAAGAGGTTTCATTCAGCTTGCTACTCATTCCAGGTCAGCTAACATAAAATCAGTAATGGTTTGGACTGATTTCCTTCTTGTAATGAGCCTAGAATTGGCATATGTAGCATAAACTCTCTTCCTGTTTCACATCTGCAGAAGCTTTCTCAGAGTGATTTGGCTTTCTCTTTCTTTCATATACTTCTGCAGCAGATATTTGCATCACCATGTTACAAAGCTTCTGCACTGTTTGTATCCCACAGACGCATGCTGCTTACTGAACTCAATGAAGCTTCTTGACACCAAAATCAATTAGGGAAAAAGCTGGTTCTTACTGCTGGAAAGTGCAATTACACTCTCATTTGGGCCAAAGTTGCAATTCTTCATGCAAACAATGCTCGTACTCAGCCTGCAACTGTTCATGTCAAAACAACTGGTCTGATGAGAGAGCAGTGGCTGCAGGAAGAGGCACTCTTTCTGTAATAAGGATCTGGTGCTCTGATTTACAGTGTCCTGCAACATCACTTGTTTTCAGGCTCACAGACTGTACCATGCATGTAAATATTTGCACCAAGGTCCAATGGGAACTGACGGCTCAAAAGTTTAAACAGGATATATAGTTCATCTTTTAAATATCTCAAAGATCAGTGCATACAAAAATACATGCTGAACCATGCTTTACTTACTGCTGAACAATGCTTTACTTAAGCATACACTATAAGCTGAGCCCAAGCTAAGTGCTTTGCTGAACTGGGATCAAACCACGTTTCTGGTCATATTACTCAGTTTTTGGCAACAACCTCTCTCAAATCCTTTACTGCCTTATAAGCCAATAGAAATTATGCATCCTTGTAAAGAAGGTGTCAAAGCTGAGTTTGCCTGAAGTATGCTTGACAACTGTTTAGAAAGCCAATCCAAACAAATATTTTCAACCATATTTTGCGAATAATTGGTTTTCTTTTTATTGGACACTTCTGTTTATTTATTATTGAAATATGCAGCATGTTCTAACTGAAGGTTGAGGAATGATTTGACAAGCTTGCATATAACCCTGTGCAACAACCAGGGTATTCTGCTCTCAGAGCTTGGTCTTGATTGGGAAGAATTCTAGTCCCAGTTACAGCAGGGTACATACACTGGAATCCAGAGCAGCATTTTGCAGATTGGTTCCAGTGGGAAGTTAAAGGCCCCAGCGCCTTGCAAGACCAAGTCCTGTGGTATCTCTGCAAACTTGAAGAAAGATTCAACAAGCAGTTGTGATAACCTAACAGTCCACTGCCACTGAAGGGTGAGGATTTCACTCTTCCCTGCTTCCTCACTTCCTCATACCGCTGACCTTCTCCATCCCTTCCTAGCACTGACTCCGGCAATCACTTGCTTTACAACTCACTAATTTGACAGGAAAAGATCTACTTTGTTGTTCTTGTTGTTGCTGCATTGGATTTACTGCCAGATTAGTGGGATCAAGCAGCTCCTGGAAGAGAAGGCAGCACTTAACACTTGTACTTGCACAAGGACAGAATCAATTCAGGGTTAGTAACAAAAGGACACACAACGGCAGGAAGAAAATTGAAAAGGAAGAAGAGAAGTCCTTCCCTTTCCACCAGAAATGCACTCTTAACATTAGCTCAACCCACTCTCCATAGCCCTATATACATAATAATAATAATGTAATAATAGTTATGTAATCCAGATCATTAATATCCAGAAGCCTTGGCCATAAGCAGAGTTCCACTGTTACATGAGGGACCGTATATACACATTGCCCCTGCTCTAAGGAGCTGACAGCCTAATTTGGCACAATGAACAGTTTGAAGAGCAAAGTATAGAAGACAAAAGTGGTCAGGAAAGTGGAGGTAGTAGAGGAAGACATAACCAAACTTTTATCCTGAAAGACTCACTGAATTGTTTGGTACATCAGGTGAGTCAGATGAATTAATTCACTGAAAGTAAATCAAACTACTTGCCTGAGATAGGAGCTTCACTGTAAGCCCGTCAATGATTTAGATCTCGGCATGGGCAACAGGCAATTATATCACTTGTTTCATTTTAGACTCAGCCTAACCAAATGGTTAATTCTGCACTGCACTTCAACAAAAAACTCCCACTAAAGCACAGAGGAGATCTGCCCGAGTCTGGAGTGCAGCTGAACTGGGCACTTCGTGTACTAGTTGTGCTGCAAACAGTTTCTCAACATATTACAGCATCACTCCCCTTCTAAATAAACAAGCAAATCAACCGAGAAACCAACATCTAAAATTAATGTGAAAAGATCTTGTTCTCTTTTATCAGACTCAATCTCCTTTCCCCTCTCCCCAGGTTTTGGGCTGAAGTCTGTGTGCCAGTTCTTTGTATCAAACATGAAAAATACTACTTGCTTGGCACATATCATGTCTGTTTTACAGAAGAGGAAGGAAAAAACATCATGTATTTGGCCATGATCATTAAACAGCATCATAAGAGACAGGTAAGCAGAATTTGTGTTTGGATGAGAGAATATCACAGCACTGTTTTGCAAAGCTGATTTATATTTCTCACAGTTCATGTATCTGAGATACCTGCATAAATTATAACCCTGATTTAGTATTTACTTAAGTTGTATTAGAAAAATGGTTAGAAACAAACCTTGAGCATTGACAATCAAGACTTCTTCTTCTGCTAGTCTTGCAGTGCCACTGTATGTGGTAAAGGCATGAAACATCCTTCAGTAATAAAACAAAAGTTTGAGGGGAAAACAGCGATGTCCTTTGCAAGAAAAATGATAACACAGCTTTTTGAGTTGAAGAAGCAACTTTGTGTCGGTCTTCATAGTAAGCTGTACAGTGCTGTGTAATCATGATGAAGATAAGATAGCATTTGTCTTTCAACAACATCTTAACTGTAAAATCCACAGCACTGAAAAGGTTTTGTTTGGAAATAAAAAGAAAACAAGGACGTGTTTTGATGAAAGGTGATGCTTTCTGTCCAAGTCCAAGATATAAGCCACGCAATGGTTATTTAAGTAGCACGGCATGCCACGTTAGACTCTAAGTGCCATCCACTTCCAGTCTACGATAATTACAACTAGTGAACTGTGTACACAAATGGTATGGATAAATAAAGGTGACTGATACACATGCCAAAGTAATCTGGAGTGTACAATGAAAACAGTTTTGCAGATATTGCCATATCTTGCCATATCTATCCACTCCCTTGTGTTTTTGATCTGTTGTGCACTTGGATCAAAACTGGTAACAGCAGACAGTAATTGTTTTTTTCTTTGGGTCTCAAAAATATAATGAAGATATAAAACCGTAAAACTACAAAACCCAAAAAAGCTGTGCATACATTTTTTTTTTTGAGTGGGGACAGTAAGCACAGGACTAAATTATTTAGAAAGTCTAAAACAGCAAGGTAATTAATAAAGTTATTTATACAGAAGTGTATCTACAGTATTTAATAATTTAAGGCTCACAAGAAACTAACATATCAATAAAAGTTTTCTGCTATAGGGTTAAAAGCACCAAATTCACTTCACATACTAGATAACCAGATCTGTACAGATCACAAGTGGAAAACTTGGAAAGTGACGATCTGCTAATGTTCCTAGTGCTTTGAGGATGTTGCATTTCACTGGAATAAGAAATCCCCTTTCAACCATAAATACAGTTATATAGATAGAAAATATACTGGAATAATTCCAATTTGAAACTACAGTACAAAAAACCTCAACCTCCCTCCCCCCCCAATCCATTCATTCTCCACACATGCATCCTCCATCTCTTTAATACTAAACATGGAGCAACTGAATTGGTTACAAATGACCCAGTTAAAACCAACCACCATTTGCCAAAATAAGTTTCTACAAATTAGATTTTGCACTGTTGTAATTTACCAGCTCCTGCATCATGGAGCGTAGCTTATTCTTAGTCTATTTTAAAAATAGGTGACCCTTTGTGTCATGGAAAAAGAACATAAAAACATGTATTCCTGGAGGACTACTCAGGACAGTGATCAATTTACAAAATATAGCCTGAGTTAAAAAAACTAACTGGTACCAAAAGAATAATTATAGTAGTAAGTTTCTGACACCAGCAAATACTGCTGCATCTCTGAACTAACTCTCTCCTCTCCTTACAGGTCTGTTTCCCTGTTGGTGTCCAGACAGAGAGCATAGAGGGATTTTCTGAGATCTACATTACTTTTTGCTTTGATACTGGCTTTCTCTAAGGAGCCCGTTCCATTGTTGAACCCCTCACTGTTTTCCAAGTGCACAACAGATTTGTTCAGAGAGTTTCTACTGGCTCTTCTTTTCACATCTCCCCCCGCTGCGCTGCCCTGAGCACTACTGTGTTCATCTTTGAGAACAGCTTGCTCATGATCAGTCTCTCGGTGGTAGAAGTAATTGAAGTTGGACACAATGACAGGGACAGGCAAGGCAATGGTGAGCACACCCGCGATGGCACACAAGGAACCCACAATCTTGCCCCCCACGGTGACAGGTCGCATGTCCCCATACCCCACAGTGGTCATGGTTACCACTGCCCACCAGAAAGCATCAGGGATGCTGGAGAAATGAGACTCAGGGTCATCAGCTTCGGCAAAATAGACAGCACTGGAGAAGAGGATCACCCCAATGAAGAGGAAGAAGATGAGGAGGCCTAGCTCCCTCATGCTGGCTTTCAAAGTCTGTCCCAAGATCTGCAGCCCCTTGGAGTGCCTGGAGAGCTTGAAGATCCTGAAGACTCTGACCAGGCGGATGACTCGGAGGATGGCCAGGGACATGGCTTGCTGCTGCCCTCCACCCCCATTGCTACTGCCAGTCCCAGGCTGCTGCTGCTGGGCCAGCTCAGTTCCCAAGGTGATGAAGTAGGGGATGATGGCCACGATGTCGATGATGTTCATGATGTTGCGGGAGAACTCAGACTTGCTGGGGCAGGCGAAGAAGCGGACTAGCAGCTCAAAGGTGAACCAGATAACACATGTGGTCTCAATGATGAAGAAGGGGTCAGAGAGACTACTGGGTGGCTGCATGGGTTGGGGTTCCACAGTTGTGCCATTCAAACCTCCACTTTGTGTGGGCTGGGGCACAGGCATCTCTCTCTCATCCCTGAATTCTGGCAGAGTCTCCAGGCAGAAGGTGATGATGGAGATGAGGATGACCAACACGGAGACAATGGCGATGGCTCGGGCCGAGCTGGAGCTCTCGGGGTACTCAAAGATGAGCCAGACCTGTCGCTGGAACTCGTTGTGGGGCAGGGGCTTTTCCTCCTCTTTGATGAAGCCCTCGTCCTCCCGGAAGCGCTCCATGGCCTCCTCTCCCAGCTGATAGAAGCGGATCTCGTCGGCAAAGACGTCGATGGAGACATTGACGGGCCGGCGGAGCTTGCCCCCAGATTGGTAAAAGTAGAGGATCCCGTCGAAGCTGGGCCGGTTGCGGTCGAAGAAATACTCATTGCGGAGCGGGTCAAAGTAACGCATGCGCTTATCCGGGTCCCCAAGCAGCGTGTCGGGGAACTGGTTGAGGGTGCCGAGCTGGGTCTCGAAGCGCAGCCCCGAGATGTTGATC